CCCAGGTATTCAAAAGTTGGTCCCACGGTATGACAAATGTCTCAATTCCGGTGGCGAATATGTTGAAAAATAGCTGGACACTTGCTGTATCTGTTGCAATAAATATTTCCATGAAATTGTGTTTTGTTTCTGTAAACGGCCCCAGGGAAACTTACTTTGTAGACCAGCCTCGTAAATTCTCTCTAATCAAGATACTGAGACACAAAGCCTTACTTCACATTCAGAGGTTGAAAAATGGTTGGGTGCATCAACAGAGACCCCAATGTTCAACAAAATTCAACAAATTTCCGATGTCTATGGAACCAATGGCTTATCCTCACAAGATCACGCAATTAAACCGTATAAATCCAGCTAAATCCACCTCACACAACACTGTTCTAATATACATTTCAATATTATCGGCGTTCAGGTCTCTAAAGTCTCATCTTCCCTTGATATTTTCCGGGTAAAATGTCTTACTCGCTTCTCATCTTCACTATGCGTGCTACAAGAACGGCGTATTTCACACTCCATGATTAAGTCCCCCTAATAATATTCGGTAAAAATTATAAAGCCCCTCGTTATGTAGTTTTCTCGCTTCCAGTACCTAAGCTCCAAATATTCTTATACGCGGCGGGCTGTAGATCTTCAGATGTTCCAGCTGGATGGATGGATGGAAGATGGCGTTCCTGTAACACTTCTTTTAATTTTTCTTACGATGGAGTGACACCACGCACCCCGAGGAACTGCGATAACCGGCCCAATGTCAATCCGCCAGATGATACATGACAATGGAAAGCATCTGTGAGTTGTTACTGACCTGGGAACACCGAAGGGATTAAGATAAACCTGTCCCAACGCCACGTTGTCCACCAAAACTCCCTCAAGGACTGCGCTGGGTGAATGGAAATGTCAGAATTTTTCAGTCTTTCCTTCCTTTGTATACAATCACAAAATAAATGTCGAAATATTGAATATGTTTTACATTGGTGTAAAACTTGGTCTCTCGCCGTAAAAAAATTAAATTCTGAGTTTTTGAAACCAAAGTACTCAAGACTTAAATAAAGCAACCTGTTCTCCAGAGCAGTGGTATTCAACCTGGGGTACGCAAAGACATCTTAGGGGATACGTGAAATTTAAAAAAAAAAAAATGATAAACACTGAATAATCAGTAATGTAATTTATTTAATTTATTTTAAATGTAGATTATATACTATGTATAACTTGAATTATACACCAACAACTTTGGGGGTACAAAGTTGAAGAGAAATTATATCTGGGGGTACGCGAACAAAAAAAGGCTGAATACCACTGCTCTAGAGAACATAGACTTGCTTCGTCGGAATCCTACGTCTTTATGTCGCGAAACTTAAAACCATAATGGCTTACAATTTCTTAATAGGTATTACATACAAATTAAGAACAGTGGGTAACAACTAAATTCAACATTGGCAAAAGAGTGTTTGCAGGTTGTCCGATAGGTAAACAAATTGCATTGTAAATTATTGGTTTTGTTCACTCTATATTATAAAGTAAGGTTTTGTTGTGCGCAGGCGCAGATACTGTCAGAAAACCAACACGCACCGTCGTCACGGACTGCGTTACAACGCGGACGCCAGGCGTCTGAAGACTAGTTCCACTCTTACGCATAAGAGCCCTCGTGCGTATGTTGCAGAAAGGAGTAAGGGAGGGGGTGGAATTGAGGATGAAATACAGCAAAAGAGAGGCAGGGAATGAGTTAGGAGAGCGGCATATAGAGAGACAGAATGAAAAAAAATAGAAGAAGGAAAACAGAAAGTCTGCTGCTTTGTCAGCAGATTCGGTTTGGTTTTGGTTCACCTGTCCACCGCATTACACCAAATTGAAACGGGCTAGAGGGAAACTTGAAGAGGCCACATACAACGCGACCCGTCCACCAAACAGACAAACAAAATTGGATTTTGTACCCTCACACACTGCTTGCCGTTCAAAACGTCGACAGGGAACATGGTGCTGGAAAGAGGGGGTTGTCACACGGGCATGGGGTTGGGAGGGGGTGAAAAGAAACCAAAAATTATATAAAAGAGGCAGAATACTAGCGGTAACAAGAGTTCGCGACAGGTGAGGAATACCTTAGGAAGAAATTGACATAACCATCTCTACACCCGACAGCTCGCTGAGTCGATTTCTACTCCAAACTGACTGAGATACTTCTCATCTTTGTACTATTACAAGCCTATAAAAATAAAAGTAATCATATATATTCAGTTCAAACACGGAAATACTTCCAGACGGACGTAACTCCTCCACAACTTCATTTCTGGATGATACCAAAACGTTCACCCACACAAAATCATGTTAAGCACGACATACATATACAGAACAACTTCGAATACGATATTAAAAAAATACAATAAAATCTGGAAGAAAACATCATTTGAAATCTGATAAACATCTGACTAAAAGTTGCATTTAAGAAATTATATTTAAGTTTATATAATTTTATACACCTGAAGATGGTTCTTTTAGAACTGAAACATGTCGTGTAAAAAAATGATATTCTAATGTAAATCGAACATTTCGATAGAGAACATCATTTAATATATTTTAAATATTTAAATGTTAATTATGGTAATATTTTAATATTTAATAGGAATTTTATTGTGATTAGACTGACAAGATTTAAACAAATATATATTTATCACAATATGACGCAACTTTATCATCTCATAAAAGTAATCAGTTTGTTTCGCTGTTTAATTGAGCTGCTATTCGATTAACAATTTGCTGTTAAACATTGACATTAAACGTGGCCACTGTAATGGATCGACTCTTCACGTATCACACTCCTTGCTAAAAGCTTCTTATGAGTCGCACGCCGTCGAGTTTGAATCAGAGAATACGAGAACTCAATGTTAATCAATAAACGACCTTCCAGATTCACAGGACAAATATTACAGCAAGACAAATAATGTTAATGTGACGAACTCTTTCGAAGTGATCTTTAAATATGTGAAAGGCTTTCTTTCCATCAGTCGCCTTGTATGACTGCGTCGTCTGCTGAGACAGTTTCACTTTAAACCCGATAAATCAATCAGTACGTCTATGAAACTTTCATTGGTGGTTTCTGGATCTATTGTCACACCTAAATCTGTCCACGACTTCGAAGCAAGAAAGTTTAACTAAATCGATTGCCATTAGAATCCGTCACTAGGGAACACTTTAAGACAAGTGCAAGAGGGGATGTTACATCACTTATTGAAGGGAAAAGGGGAGTGTAAAAGAATTGGAAAATACGTACGAAGGAGGGAACAAGGCATTGACAGAAATACAAGAAAAAAACATAGACATACATGAAAAGTCAAACTATGACATTACAGAAATATAAGGTAACATTCTTCACAATATCAAAACGCTCTTTTATCGCTGAAGCGAGCAATCTAGAAAGATTTGATAAAGTTCTGATATTATTTTTGAGATGTTATAAACAACAGAAAATAGAGGAGCCTATAGACAGAGCAAACAATGTAAAAATATAACATCAACGCACAAATATTTTAATATAATTAAATGAGTAACATAAGCCCACACAGTGACCAAAATATATTTTCAAGAAATTCGCAAACAATTCGCAAATTATTTCTTAAGACGTTTCGTACACTTCTTGCACCGTATAAAACATCTCATGTATCAGCTAATACGGTCTGTATGTTCAGACCAGGCGAACAACTTTGCTGAATACTAAATGGCTTATTCATCATCATTTTAATTACATCTACACTGGAAATATACAAAATTATTTTCTCCCCATGAATTTAAGTTCTGAGATATATAACGACGTTCATATACGCGGATATAGACAACGGTTGCACAGAATGACAAAATTGATTACAAATGAACTGAGAACTTGCAAGGCGTTAATCGTGCAATATGCAAGATACTGAAGAAAACTGAGAACGTCTAGTTGGTTCTTTGCGGGATTTTGTAGGGAATACAAGTTCAATCTTCCTACTGACTTAAGCGAATCCACTTTGACACAACCAGCTTAAGAAACTGGAGTCTTGTGTAGTTTTTTATTTATTTAGTGTTCTGTCTGACGACAGGTCCATATGAACAGGATCCTTCCATCCTTTTCTCGGACTGGGACCTGTTCATATACGTTCTTGGCAGATGATCCAAAAGTGGTTTGCCATTGCCTTCTTCTGGGTGTGAATGGAGTAATTGTTGGGATGCCAATGAGGAAAACTCCGTGTTGCCTAGGCCACGGCCTTGCCCAACACAAGTTATAAATTCGGGCAAAATAACTAAAAAATTCTTCGCCATTTGACATTGATTCAAGAATAACAGGATCCATTAGCCTTAAAGTGTTTTTATTTTTATTTAATTAAACACGATAATGATCTTATTCGTAAGAAGTAAGTTAAACCGAATGTTCTCCCTGTAGGATACGAAAGATCTACTTCATGACGTCACAGTTTAAATCTCTTTAACATCCTCAGTAGAATAACAATTGGATTTGAGAAAGAAAATAAAATAATTATAATTTGACAAAATGAATTTAGATATAAACACTGGCATTTGTAGTACGACTTTGGGTGGTATGTATTATGTCCTCTACCAAGGACGAAAGTTGTACAATAAGAAAACATTATTCGTTCAACAGATCTAGTTGCTAGGCGACGTCACTCTTCCTTATATTAATTAATCTGAGACTTCAGCGACCTTACCGGGTTTGCCCGCCATAACCCCATTAGGTAGTTAAGAAAACTGCTGTGCATGGTGATTCGTGCCGCGCTCACTGGAGGCTCTGGTGTCTGACATGTCACCCCAAACTTCTCGAAGATCTTCAGTTACCGAACTAATGGAATGAAATCGGACGTGTTTTAACAATTGTCGGAATGGTTACAGCTTTGACCACTTCCTCAGTTCTTCTACTTTTATTTCATGTGCAAACTTTTAATTCATTTTCTGTGTTCTAATCTTAGTCCGTCTTCTCACTCCGTAACTTCGAATCACCACCTCTACCCCCCCTCTCTCTCGCTCTGGTCTACATCGTATTCCTGATGACGTCTATTTTCCACCCCGTGTCTTCACCACCGCGTCTCTCTTTCCGGATCCACTAGTTCATAAAGTGTCAACAAAAGCGTAAGGAATTATATCCTACGATATTACATATTATTGCAATAAATAAATCGCCTAAAGCGAATGATTTTATCGGGATGCTTCTCCCGGTGTTTTTCTGTTGATTACGTGGTCACACTGGCCCCAAACATGTTCAAGTGAATGTACAATGAAGAATGTGTAAAACGCAACGTACAAGGAAAACCACGAACGAAAATTTTCCTAAAATTCTTCATACCAGCCAGAACACTGTTTAACCTTCTACCAAGACGGAACACTATGGCTTTGTCTCTGGTACACTGAGGCAGGAATAAAACGAGTCATACTTTATGACACACCTTATAGCAAAGTGGGAAGACAGCTTTCGTCCACACATCGATACTTGAGTGGGCAGCACTGGGGGGGTTTATTTTATGGGAGTGTAAATGTCTCGTTGAATTCAATTCCGGAGAACTGAGATCTCGCAGTAAATTAATCCTCCTCATTCTACCTCTCCCCTCGCCTCTGTTCTCCTGGCACCTGCTCCACTCCCGTGGTTTGGAACGTCCAGCAGAACAAAAGCTCAATTGAAAATCGCTGCGCGGCATTACATCAAAACACACAAAATTACAGTTTTGAGTTGATGAAAACTCTGGTGAATTTCAGTAACAAAATAACACCTACAATCTGAGAGTCAAAAACAGCTGAGTATATCCGTACCTGAGGAAAATAAACACTGGGGGGGGGGGGGAAAAACTTCAAAACGTATCACACACAACATACTCTTCACCTGAAAATTATACAGCATTTTAAATAATATCTGATGATATTGGCGGAACAGGTGGTATGCATCGATCTATATCGATTATCATCATTAGTTAGATCCATATGGAACCAGTAAAAATAAATAATTGTACGTATATTAATATACGCAGTTATAATCAGCATCAACACAACAAGATAACGTACTTCCTTAGCAGAATTAAGGTCCTGAGACTCTTCGATATCCTCACAACTTCCTTCTTCTAATATTTCCATTCGAACATATGATTACCACCATAACCAACTTCCATTGTTTGATTTCTTTTCACTCAAATCCCATCTTTAGCTTCTTTTATCAGCCAGTCCCTACCATTTTCAACCTCTAATAAAAAAAATCCCCTACTACATGCACCTTTCTCTGTCTGTCTTACCTCCTAATCCTGATAATACCCTGAGGTTAGGGAGTGGAAAAACACTGGTGACACCTAGAAAGTGACATCCAATTTTCACCACGTCAACAGCGGATTCATCTCGCAAACGTTAACAAAAGACTGCAATGCCGCGAGGTTCAGGACTCATCAGCACACACTCGAAGGAGGAGGCATCCGACTGCCACGTCTATGAAACAACGAATTCAGACGCTTAGACACGCCACGATATTCAAAAACATTTTAATATTGTTGTCTAAGGATAAGTATTTTTATGTGAGACGAATAACAATGAAAGGCCTGCGGTTTGGGAACTGTGCGTTTGACTAATAAGGATTATTCATTAAAATACACTGCTTTTAAGAACGCGATAATTAGCCTTTTGGATAAATAATAAGCGATGAATTATTTAACAGCTTACGAATAGGCCTTGCACAATGACTCATTAGTCAGTAATTTTTAAACTGTGTATAACTGTTATAATCATCCTCTGATTTAAACAATGAATCCAGGATGGACATTAATATTAATATTAGCATTAAGTTGATATAATTGCGTCATATTGTGAATTAAAATTTAATTATTCGTGTTTTTTTTCCGTCTAATCACAATTGTATATAATTAAAATTATACATAAGATATTAAAATATCATTTACATATTTGGTACAACTTTTTACTACATGTTTCGGTTACATTGAACCATCTTCAGGTGTAAAGTTAAAAGTTAAAAATTATAATCTTATAAACTAAAACTTAATTACTGTTGTTGTGTAACTTCTGATGATGTTTACTTCCAAATTCATTGGAGTGAGGGTATATTTTGAAGTGATAGTGGTTTAAGCATTAGCATATAACCCGGTAAAGTTGACGCCAACGAAAATTCTTTGTGCTGATAACGATATAATTTATCGCAGTATTTTATTCGTAATTCACACTGAAAGTACGACGTATACTTAATCTATTTATGAAGAGCATTAAATGTGAAAAATTATTCACGGCGACTGAACCTAGGTCCTTTCAAAAGCGCCAACACAAGGCTTATGGGCCAACTTTGTGGCGGAATATCATTAGCTACACAGTCTACCAAAAAAAATATATTCGTGGTCTAGTAGTATAAGGCACTTTCTGGAACAATTACGATTCATAAATCCAGACATACCTTTCGGAATGTAAACAGATTAGGACGCAACCCTCCCGAAAATTCCTTGATATAGGTAAAGGGACGAGGAGAGCAGCGTTACAGCCACATCTCTCCTATCAGATCCCCATCTCTTCTGCCGCGAAGTTGGATTTGATCTGGTTGCCGATAATCCACACTGAAAGCAGTTGCTGGTGGTTTACTGAGACGAAAACAGGGTGGGGGAAGGGTTTTAGAGGTGCGCCGGTCCTCCATGTTTGCTCAACAGCTTTGGACTTTTGAGCTATATTCCATCTCACTAGTACCACAGCCACTACAATCTCATTCTCATTTCTACGTCTGCATCTAGCCCCTTATACGTGCTCTGTCCTTCCCAGAACTAACGTCACCATCCTTTAGCCCCCTGAGAGATATGCATATGGCAATGTATTATGCATTACACCTATTCACTTTAATATTCCATCACTGTTTAATATCATAATAGAAATTCGTGTCGACGTCTCACATTAATTCTAGATTAACACAGTATGTATCCAGGTAAGTATATAAAGATATGCCTTAAGTCACACTGCATCAATTAAAAGTATGCTTAACTCCGGTAAATGTATTTCATAAACATTTTACTGAGATTCGTTAATCTAAGCACGAAGTTCTGTATACATTTCAAGGAATTATTATTACCAACCTCCGCATATTGTCATTGCTTTCCTAAAATTTCGATAGCAGTGTATAATTATATTCAAAAACATATCAGTAAGCCCTTTGGTACGTGTTGACTACATAATGTACGTTCATCGGTTGTCAGGCTTATATGAATTTACATTGGTAATGTGAAGTTTCGCACCATGATTGTAATTGATAACATACAAAGTTTTCATAAATTTATATGCATGTTTATAGTATATCTCCACACAAAATTACAAATGCCTGACTATTGGTTCATTAGTCATCGCCGTCAAACCGAAAGCTGATTGCAGAATTCGCACAGACTACATATATTTAGTTTACATTCTATAAAAAAAATATACTTAACAAAAGTTGTATACCAGTTAAAATCAAATTAAATGTTCAATTAGGCCATTACGTAAAGTGGGCTTCAGAATTAATTGCATTACTATTTATACATGGCTACTATTATAGGCCTAATCGTAGGCCTATAACATAGGCCTAAATGCAGTAATATCGAGTTTTGTCAAAATCTGTCACGAGACTCAGATATATAAATTATGTAAAATTCATTTAGGTAGTTATGAACCAAACTAAACGACAGTTAAAATAATTTTAGATTCAGTGTGGGCCCAATATATCGAGATTTATCGATATCGGCAAGGTAGTTGCGGACAAGTGAGTGACAATACCATAACTTTGAGGCGATTTTCGAATTTCATTCGAAATGCAAGTAAACTGTAATCCCAAACAAAAACAACTCAGAGACGCTTGTGCACTCTTCAGGTTGGGTCTGTCAATCGACAATGAAACATCCTCTGGCGGAAAAAAAACAAAACAGAACAGCACACTCCGAGGACTGCTTATAATAAATATAATGGACAACTGAAAAAATATCGCAGACAGAGAAGCCAGTTTCTCTTAATTCCTCAGTGACATTTCACGTACCTAAAAAGAATCCCACAACTGAGAGAATAAACTTACCAATTGTTAATCCAGAAAAGAAGGCGTCCACGAGTTCTACTCCTTACCTGTAACAAACCGAATATTAATTACATATAAATAAGACAGAAGTTTGTGCAAGGGGGAACAAGGGATCGTCAGATACACTACTTAACGTAATCTAAAAAAAAAATTAAAGAGAAATGATGACAAAAGGTCTCCTTGTTTCAAGCCATTCTGAACACGAAATGCAAAACACTTATGCCATGGGGCTGAGTCCTTCCTGAGAAGCTGACAGTCGCTCAACCACCCAACTTTTTATGGAATTCAAATATTCATTACCGTGTTCACAACAGCCCGTCACTAGTCTCTGTCCCTACCCAGTGGAATCCAATATTATATCACCCTATCTCTCAAAGATCCATTTTAATATTATCCTCACACCTACGTCTTCCTAGTAATCTCCTTCCTTCCGGTTTGCCCACCAAAACCCTGTATTCATCCCTCGTCTCTGCCATGCAGACTACATGTCCAGTCCATCTGATCATTTTTGACTAATCATTCTAATTATATTTTGTGAAGAGTACAACTTATGAATCTCCTCATTATGCAACTTTAACCAGTGTCCTAATAATTCATCCCTCTTAGGTCCAGATATTCTCCTTAGCACCCTGTTCTCAAACAAAGACCAAATTCCACCGATAATGCATTATATAAATGTTAACCACAGGTTTAGTTTAAAAAAAAACACTTTAATTAGCTTACCTAGATTCACTGATATACCAAATTCAGTAAGACTATTGAATAATAATGGTCTCGCGACTTAAAACCTTTCACTATTCACCGAGCGCAGAGCATTCTAGTATCAATGTGTACCAGCCACGATCAAAGCATTACTGAGCTTTCATTATAACCTACTGAACCACCAACCAAATCAGGTCTTCGCATCTACCAACTTCAACTGTTTACTGCAGCCAATAGCGATATTATTTTGAATTTATCGTCAATGACGATCGCAGACAACAGATGTTTCTATTATTATTTAATGGAATGGAATTTTCCTTACATACAGGCCTATTAAACTCATCTTTACTCTCTATAGTGACCCTTTCAAAACACACAAGCCTATGTGCATGTAATACGATAGAAGTAGAGAATCCATTTGTTTATTTAGATGTATCAGCTCTGATGAACATATCCAAGCGAAGAACTGCAGGTCTTTGAGTCGAAGAACTTTTTATTTTTTATTTATTTAGTGTTCTGTGTGACGACAGGTCCATATGAACAGGATCCTTCCATCCTTTTCTCGGACTGGGATCTGTTCATATACGTTCTTGGCAGATGATCCAGAAGTGGTTTGCCATTGCCTTCGTCTGTGTGTGAATGGAGTAATTGTTGGGATGCCACGGAGGAAAACTCCGTGTTGCCTAGACCACGGCCTTGCCCAACACAAGTTATAAATTCGGGCACCGCCGGGGAATCGAATCGGGAATGTAAATGAAAATATATTCATCTTTTGACATAATTCAGTGACAGAAAAAAGTTTGAAATAAACAGGGCCTAGTTGATTTTAGTGATCATTCACGTGTACACGCAAAAAGACGTAAATTACATACATAAATGTATAGACGCGTGAGAATTACTATACATTCTTGTTAAATGTCGCAACAATTTCGTTCGCAGAAATAAATAACAAATCACTTTCCAAATTCATGTTCGGTAAACTTTAATATCGCTTTCGGTTCGTGGCGTCAGTATCGAATCCAGTCAGCTAATGGCACAGTTGCGTCTCGTGTGATGAGTAATTGGTATTCAAACTGCTGTGTGTTTCAAACGAACATGTACACCTAGGTAATTGTTTAAATTAATTCAGCCGGACAGTAAAATATGAAAATTGTTATTACTATCCATACACCAACTCACCCAGCTCATTACAGCCTTGTGCACACAGTGAAAAGCTGATAAGTTTATTATCTATGCGACATGGAGGCTATTCTATAACAGATATGTGACTTTGTGTTATCCAACAACGACAATTATTTGGTACCAAAACAAAATGCAATGATAAATTGACAGTAACTGGTTTGCATTTCAAATAATAATGCTTCAGGTCTTGAGATTTGCGGACATTGAGTTATAAATTCGGACAATTTCCAGTCTCAACAGATGAAGCCGTAACCCTGCGACATATTTCGCTTAATATTAGCAGGGCTCCTTTAAAATACAGGGGGGGGGGGGGGGAAAATCTACATAGACAGCAACGAACATAACAATACGAAAACACAACAAGCGAATAGCGGGCCCCGTTCTTGTGCGGTATACTAGATGCAAAATATCTACGAGCTTTAGTTACGGCACAGTAAGAGGTCAAAGGAGGGAGAAAGACATCTTATCGCTTCTCCTCCCTAGGTGGTACCAACGAGTATATTTGTGACGGTCAAAGAGCTCGGATATATCTTGCGACAAATACGCGGATAATGAAGGCTTTTAATTTGCAAAGAATTTCCTGAGCACATAAAAGTGATTGAGTTGGAAGCAAAGTCCTTGCTGAAGATTTCTGTCTTCTGGGTTGTTCCGCTGTGTAGTCTGGTAGATGTTTACCGACGTTTCAGAGGTCATACTGCCTCCGTCATCAGAGTATGAAGATTTCTGTCTTCTGGGTTGTTGCGCTGTGTAGTATGGTCGATGTTAACCAACGTTTCAGAGGTCATACTGCCTCC